TACTATAAAAATGCTTCTTTCCTCATTCCCTGAGCCACATTTCTACTTTCTTTTTGAAGAAGTTTCTCCTCTGAGTGTTCTGTCTTAGAAATTGACACCGCTCATCTCCCCACTAGGATTCAACCCCCCAGGCACAAGCTCTGTGATGGTGAATCCCCTGCAGCTGCCCACAAACAATAAGTAATACAAAGGATGACTGAGGGTTTCAAGTTTCCTGTTTACAACCTCCATCCAATGGGGATCTCTCTGGGAGAGATGTAAGGCTGGCAACAAATTAACAAGGGTTCAGTTATTTTACAAGAGCAAACAATGGTTCCTCTGACCACTTTTGATTCATTCCATCTCTGGTTTCCATGGAGCATCAAAAAAGGATCTATGTGTGTGTCAAGAGAGTGGAGGAAGAGAAGAGGCCCAGAGCTAACAGGGGAAGAAGCACCCCGCCTGACCAGTCTCCCCGGAAAGAAAGTATCTCTGATCCTTAATGTCCAGTTCCTATGTCGTGGGCTGCTCTGTCTGGGTAATGACAATCGAATCTAGTAACACAGCCCTCATTCCAGCAGTCTTTTTCTTCCCTGGAGATCTTTGCCCTGGGTTCTGGTTGCTTTTAGGCTTGGTCTTGTCTCCATCTTTCCCCTTCTATCATCAGCTTTTATTCCCACTAGTTAGTTGGAAAAGCTGTATAGGAAATTAGATGTGCCTGCTGAACTGCCTCTTTGGGGAAACAGTTTAAGAATTCTCTGGAGCTGACTTGGGAAGTTAGGGGTACAGCGGCAGCCATCTGTGGATTTTTGGTCATTCAAAATCCATTCCCTCATCTTTTGACAGTTTCACCTCTAACAGAAAGTGGGATCTGGCTTCTTGCCACTCAAAAGCCATTAAAGAACCCAAGGTTGGTGGAAAAGAAAGTTTGCTTTATTTTGGATGCCAGCAACTGGTGGGGAGGGTGGACTTCTGTCCAAAGGCTGATTGCCCACCCCCGACATTTAATGGGCAAGAGCTTTTATAGACTAAAAGAGGGAGCTACATGCAGAAAGAATACAGTCAGCTCTGATAGTCATCTTGCAGTTTGGTCATTAGTGGTCTGATCAGCGCCATCTTGATTGTTTTAAGTTAGTCTTGTCCCAGGGTTGGTTTGTTCCCATTTGCTTAAGGCCAGTTCTCAAAATTGTAGCAGCTTATGTCAAGGCTACAGGCTGGTCATTATGTAGTTATCTTCTTCCACCCAGTAGGGGTTTCAGTATCTATAAGACAGCTCACAGGATAAGGTTCAGAGTATTATCTATAGCCCTTGAAAAGGAATTAGAGACCCTTGATTATGGATACCATCTTCCCTCATAGCTCAGTTGGTAAAGAACCCACCTGCAATGCAGGAGACCCCGTTTGATTCCTGGGTCAGGAAGATCCTCTGGAGAAGGGATAGGCTACCCACTCCAGTATTCTTGGGCTTCCCTTGTGGCTCAGCTGGTAAAGAATATACCTGCAGTGCAAGAGACCTGGGTTCAATCCCTGGTTGATTATGCTTAATGACCAAACTATTATTATTTGGTCTCCTTTGATGGTTTGCCTTTGTTTCTGCATATTCTCACTTCTCTGAAAGTTTTTCTACAGACAAAAGGCAGGCAGAGGACTTGGGGACAGGGGGCAAGGACCATAAGTTAACCTGCTCCATTCCACACCAGCCCTTACCCTTCTCAGTCAAATAATTCTATAAGGATTAGAGCCCAGGCTCAGGAATAGAGCATGTGATTTAGGCCTAAGCAAATCAGAGCATTGAATTTCCTTGGCTGCCAATGATTGGCTCACTGATAATCATGTGACTTAAGGAGAGCCAATTAGGAAAGGCAATGAGGAGCTCCCTGAGAATTCTGGGAAGGAGACTCCCACTCTACCTTGCTGCACTTGAATGAGAGCTGTGAAGTTGGAGACCCTGTAAACATCTCGCTATGGATAGGGAGTTCCTGTCTGCAAATATTGTCAAGGCAGGGAAAGAAAGAGATTCTGGATCTTGAAGACAGTGCTTGAGCCCAGGAATTAGTCTGTCGCTGAAGCAAGCCTTGTTTCCAGATGCTCAGTTATGTGATTCAGGAGATTTTCCTTGGGCTCCTACTGTCTTGGGTTGGATTTTGTTGCTTGCAACTGAAAGTGTTGTTTATCTCCCACTAAGACAAGTTGAGAGGAAGCTCCAAGAATAAGAGCAGCTGGAGGGGAAGCAGATCACAGTCCTTCAAGCAGGAAAGCAATTCTCACCTGAGAGTATTTGTCCCTTTACATTTATCATGAGAAGGTAGAAGCTACAAAATGTGTTTTTAGAGCCATTAACCTTTCCTTCCCTTCCATCTAATGCTGACATTTTTACGTGGGGGGCGGTAGTTTATTATTCAAGTGATTGCTGGGCCTGCCTTAAAGTGAACATAGACATGGGTAGGATTCCTTAAAAAGTCATACATCTCATTTCTTTGGTCACTATGCTTTTTAAATGCTTATGTTACCATCTGGATTGCATCACTTTTTTTTAGCTGAGGGATGGTATACAAAGACATTTGCTCAGGAGACCCCAAATCACTTGAATCCTGCCTTAGCCTACCAACTATATCTCCCTGCAGTGCCCCTATGCAGGCAACAAGAAACAGTTTATCTTGAGAGAGAACTTTGGTTCAAAACCTAATGCAAATTCAAGTAAGGATGGACTTCATGGTCTTTCTCCTTATCATTCGATTTCACTTCTCAGATGTAACCCATGTGGATTTCTAGTTCCATTTTTCTGACACGGCTGATGTATGTTGGATCAGGTTTTTTATTGTTGTGGTTTGGTTTAGTTTTGATTTTTGGCTTTTGACGTATGTCAGAGAAGGAAAAGAAAGCATTGTGTCACTTCTGCTCAGAATATTTGCCCAGTGGCTGCTCAAGTCCTGTGTTAACAAAATTCAACTGAATAAATTTTAAAAGATCTTATTGGCTTTAGTCAGTCATGCTGGAATCAGGCAGCATCCAGTCTAGCAGCTGGAAAGGCGTTCCAAAGCGTGGTACAAGGCAAGAGATTTTTATAGACCAAAGTGAGTAGGAACAAAGAAGTTGTACTGGGCACTTATTGATTGGTGAAAGGGTTGCTTTCTCTACATGGAGCAAAAGGAAGTCTTGGAGAAGATAACTTATGTCAGGTAACTTGGGTTGAGAAGGAAAGTTCTGAGTGGTTGCCCTAGACCTCCCTTTTTTAGAAGAGCTAAGCCTTGAAACTTGGTTAAGTTTTCATTTTTGATGCAGTGCTTAGCATGAGTCACTCAGTCTCAGGCCTCATCTATCTACTTTAACACCTGTCAGGCTGAATCAAGAACTCTGAATCTGCTTCCAGGCGGGTGGATAAATCTCTGTCCAAGGAGAGAGAAAGTGAAGGGGTGGGAAGAGGGGAATGTAATATTGCCTTGCCATTCTGGCTGCAAGGAAGAGTGAGAAAAGGAGTCTGTACCTATGTTACATGAGCTGTAACCTTATTTCCACTGAAATGTCACCAGGAGAAATGTGAGTTAATAAATGTCTTGGAACCAGTCAGACTGATACTTTTCTTCTCAAAGGAGAACAAGGCAGAAGGTAAAAAGAGAATTTCTGAAAGCTTCCTCTTAATAGTTACCATTATCGTATTAATTAGGATGATACTGTTGTAACAGCAAATCATGTCCAGAATTTTAGCAGTGGGTAATATAATAAAAGTTTATTTCTTGTTCCTATAACAATCTAAAGTGGAGACTTCTCACTGACAGACAGCTTTCCTACACTTAAAGATTTAAGACACATGTTCTTTCCATCTTAAGACTCCACTTTAAGGCAGTAGTTTTCAGCTTTTAACTGCACTTTGTAATTACCCAATGTGCTTCAAAATGCTAATACATGGGCCCCACCCCAGGAGACTCTGATTTCACTGGTTTTAATATCAGCAGGTATCAAAATGTTTAAAATGACCCCCAGAGAAGTATACAATGCAACCAGTATTTCACTAGGGCATTACTATAGGGTAGTGGTTTCCAGTGCACAGTCCCCAGTCTGGCAGCATCAGCAACATTTGGGACTCGTAAAACGTTCATACTCTCAGATCCTGACTAGATTTGCTGAATAAGAACTCTAAGGATGGGGTGCAATCTATGTTTTAAGAGCCTTCCAGTTGGTTCTGATGTATAGTCAAGTTTGAGAATCACTGCCTTTGAATGCCAAAGTTCTCCAATCCAGGTGGAAGGAAAGAGAGGGAGCTTGAAGGAACACACCTGTTTCTCCACTACTTCCCAGTCTCTTGGCAATATCTCCAGCCATGGGCCCAGCTCAGAGCCAGAGAGGACTGGGAAATGGAACCCTAATTGAGCAGCCTGTGTCTGCCACAGTCATACACTTGGGTTTTCTATACTGTCCCTGAATTTGACAGTGATTCCAGGTTGAAGGAAAATAAAAGGCAATTTTAAATTCTAGGTGTAACACAAATGGTCAGGATTCGCAGGTCCTAGGAGTATGAGACTGAAAAAAAACTTCTAGGAAGGCACAGGCAAACAATATATGTTCATGTAGAGTAGAATGGGTTCACTGAGATAGAAAAATTAACACATAAAGCCTGCACAAATTTATAAGCAAATTTCTATCATGCCTGTGCATGCATGAGTGTTCAGTCATGTGACCCCATGGACAGTATAGCCCATCAGGCTCCTCTGTCCATGGAATTTTTCAGGCAAGAATACTGGAGTGGGTTGCCATTTCCTACGTCATGGGTCTTCCAGATCAAGGACTGAACCTGTGTCTCTGGCATCTCCTGCATTGGCAGGCAGATTCTATCTCAATGTGCTACCTGGGAAGCCTATCATGCCTTGTAATAGCAATTCCTTCACCAAAGTGATAAAATCTCTTGAGTTCTTTTTCTGACTGGATTGCTCACCTTTTTCCCACTTCTTTTCCCCCAGAAACTCAACAGCGGCTCTGAGGCAGAGATAAAAGATTGTGGATCTGCTGGGAGAAGGTTATTTCGGATGCCAGTCCCTGCGAGAATATCCCAACCCAGGACCCCACTATGCTATAATGGAGGAAATAGCGACCTGAATGTCAGGCAGTTTGGGGTCCGTGTCCTGGCTTTGCCAATGCTTTCCTGTGTAGCTTTGGGTGAGACACTTAACTTCCCTGAGCTTTAGTTTCCTCTTCTCTGAAAGACATAAAAAGCCCTGGCTCATCGAATTGTTGGAACTACCATATGGAAAATAACATAGGCAAGCCGAGGAGCCAGGCCGGCTCCAGTCCAAGGGGTCACAAAGAGTCGGACGCGACTGAGCGACGAAGCACAGCAAAGCTGCTTTAAAAACCTCAGCTGTCTTCACCTCCATTTGGGTTGCCTTGACAGAAAAAATTCAGGCCATTCTTATCCTCAACAAGCCACATGCAGGAGAAACAGATAAGATGTTTTGAAATGGTCTGAGGGTGGCTAAGTACAGCCCATTCTTGTTAAGTCTATTTATAGCAAGAAGCCATTCAGACCGGTCCTGCCTTTCCAGTCTGCCTCATTGGCAACGTGGTGGGCCCGGGGCTTTGGCTCTTACGTGTTCCTTGTGGTTTCTATCTGCTCTGGCTTTGGTGGTTTCTTTCTTTCAGCCTAGATGCCAAAAGGACGATGCGGTCCAGGGAGCTAAAGAACAGACTGGCCATCTGGGGACTTCATGTTTGTCTGTGACACTTCAAAAAGTGACTGTTAGCCAGTGGTACAGAGAAAAGAGAACACACCGTCCATTTGAAGGTGGAGGCAATCCTGGCCATCTGAATGCTTGAAATACATATCAGCCTCTTGAAAGCTAAAGGCTGATTTGGGCTCCATGATTCTTTAGAGTTCAAGTGGCCCTCAAGGGAGGGCTTAGGGAGGATATGACACCAGGCAATTACTGGCACTTACAATTTTGTGCATCTCAGATAAAATGGATAGATTCTAGACGCTTTCAATTCCAGATCTCAGAATCAGTTCAGAGCGTATAACAATACAATGGCAGATGTAATAAACTCAGACAGGTGTAGTGTTTTCCAATTTTCATACACTGTAAGAAAGCTGATTTTTTCCATCTCCCGGAAGCACATATGTTATTACACTTAGGTGTCTTTGGTGGCATGGAATACAAACCCACTCAGGGTACCAGTTGCATGCGTGAGAGTCCGGTGGCCTCCTTGTGCCTTTCTAAGTACTGTGGCCCCGCATCAAACTGGTGTTTTCTCCCTAGTCTTGCCCGAGGCTAAGGTTTGGCAGTCAATTCTTGCTGCCGGGTTTAAAACATGGTAGGGATGGTGTGAGCTCCACAGAATTCACATGAAATGTAATCCACACTCCGTCTCTTGTGGCTGTCCTTACATTTGCAAGGACAGTTTCCTTCTAGGAGTCTCTGGATATCGAACTAGGATTGGCACATGCCATTAACACATTTCAATGCTGCAACTTCACTGATTGGAAACCCTGATTCGATATTGCAAATTTGTTTTTGGCAACTGCATCCGCATCTTCCCCAAATACATTAGAGTTTCCATTGACAGATGGTCTGAGATGGGCCCAGGGAGGCTGTTGACAGATATCTTGAGATGGATCTTATTACATTGACATAGCTGGAGAATGTCCCATGGGAAATGTCTTCGCAGGCCCGGAGGCTGACAGAACAAGACGGAAGCCCTTCAAGAGAATTGCCAATAAAGAGACTGAAAATGGGCACCGCCTTCCAGAGGTAATTTGGCAGTATGTATTGAGACTTGAAGCATTCATACCCTTTGACCTATATTCATCGTCTCAAGTTTTAGCTGAAAGTGCTGCTGAGACGTATGCGTGACGATTTATGCATAGAGACTTTCACTGCAGCATTAACCATACAAAAAATCTGCTTATCCGAAAACAGTTTAACTCCTCCCTCTTTCTATAACAGAAGTACCTCTGTGGGCTTCAAATCTGGGATATAAAACTAACTCCCAAAGTTCACCAATTTAGCAGACTTTTTTTAAACCTACAGACTATTTGTTAAGAAAATTTAATTTCAGTGTGAATCAATTCACTGGAGAGAGGGAATGAGGGATTTAAAAAAGCAGTGGGTGAAAATCTCTTAAGCATAAGGAAACAGCAACAGTAGTAAAAATATTTCTTCGATGGATGCAAATGTGAAATTGAGGATGACAGTACCACACGAGAGACTGTGGCTGAGCCTCTGACTTGATGTCCATAATGACAATGACCTCAAAGGAAATTTAGGAAGGTATGAAAATTCAGCATTTAAAAATCAATTCTGATTGAATTGGTGCGGAAAACAAATCTACTGCCCTGCAGAAATAATGCCAAACCTTCAGTTGTTTTAATGAAGCCTGCCTCACACAATTCAAATCAGAATATTACTTTCATCAGAGAATCATTTTTGTTCTTCCATGAAATAGCACAGGAAATATATTATGCAGTTACTTGCCAAGGTCAAGAAAACTCATGATCTTGACAAGAAGGGGGAAAAAAAAAATAATTGTGCCTCCATCTAAAACTGGTAGTTCTCAGCTGGGGGGCATTTTGCCCCTTTAGGGATCATTTAACAAGGTCTGGAGAGATTTTGGGTGGTCACAATTGGGGTTGGGGGTAGGGGTGAGTGTGCGGTGGGGAAATGCTACTCTGGCCTCTAGTAGGTACAGGCCAGAAATGCTGCTGAACAAACTATAGAGCCCAAGACAGCCTCCTACAGCAAAACATTGCCTGGTCCAAGGTGTCAGTAGTGCCAAGGTTGAGAAACCTTGGTCTAGACAGTGACAAATGATCTGGGAAGAAATGACCAAGTGAGAGCACATGCTGTTCTGTTCTCTATTGGAGGTGGTGAGAGTGAGGGCAAGGCTAGGGGATGGACTTCCTTCTCCTCCAGCTCCACCTGTGCTAGGCCTAAGGCCAAGCGGGGGAAGCATGGCTCTCAAATCCTGATGTCTAAGGCCGCATATGCATCTTTCATCAGGACTAAATGAAAAAAACTTAAATCTTTACTGGAATTTGTATAGGCAAATCCCCCAGTTTTGCAGACTTTTTTTTCTTCTCCAAGGAAAAAGGAACAAAATACATGAAAGAACCTTATTCAAGGAATTTCAAAGCCATTTCCTAGGGTCAAGGACAAATTCTACCCAATCTCCTGTTTTGTTTTCTGGACAATGGGAATTGGGGTCCAGAATATTTAGCCTGAGGTTCAGCCTGACCCTCAACTATCGGAAAAGCATTAAATCACTTTCAGAGTAAGCTGTGTTTCTTAGGGCAGGAAATTCAACTCATACCTTTCAGTAAGGTTTCCACATCAAGCACTGATGTGAAAAGGACTTTCTGGGTAACTTCAAGATAACCTGGAATCTCCCATTCCCTGGGCATTTTGACTAATTGGGGTTTTCCTGTGGTTTACATTCTTCAAGATGTTCACTGGCAAGATTTACAGGAAGGTCTACTGACAGTATTACAAACTCCAATCCAAACTTTCCCTTTGTACATTTCATGTCTGTAATGTTGGAATGCCTCAAAATAAACGTGTGACATTTGCTCATAATGAAGAAAAACAAGTCAACTGCTTTGTTTTTTATATCTAAATAATACAAACAAAGCATTCATTGGATTGAGAAGCATTTACTGGTTTACAGAACAGCAGCAGGAGGTGGGGGGAGGCAGCTTTTTGTGTCTGTGACAATTTTAACTTTGGAGAGTTTTAATCTAAACATTTGCATGATTGTCTTGCTAGGAACAAACCGCGTTGAAAGTGTTCGGTTTTGGCTGATTCTACCTAATCTCATTCTGACAGGTTCCCATACGAGCTGGGAACAGCCGGGACTAACTCTTCTCCAACACTATTGCTAATTGGCAGCAGCAAGACAGCCTGTGAGCTCAAGTATGTGAAAGATGGGGGAAAACAAAAACAAAGCCAAACTCTTAAGACTCCAATCAGCTTTAATTAGTCAAGAAAAAGTAACAGCCTAAGAATGTACACCTACTGAGATAGTCAGAAGCAGATGGCTATGAAGTGTTTCTAGGTCCAGCTAAGGATCTTATACCCATCACTTATCTACCTGGCTTTTGGGTTTTCCACCTTTATAAACAAGGAGCTAAAAATTGCCGTTTTTTATTTCTACCAGCTGTGGCAATGATTCATTTAGAAAATGCAGAAATATCTTAATAGACCTGGTGCTAGGCAGTCATCCTCCGTCCCTGTCTCCTTCCCCGAATATACAAAATATTTGATATTCATGTAGCAAATACTCATAACAGCCAGAATCAAAAGTTCATTAATCAGAATCCACCTAACAGGGCAGCCCATCAAGGCACTTTTCTTTTTCTGTATGAAAATATCATAATGGAATAGTAAAAACATCATTAGCAGTGCTTCTCCTCAGACCAGGGTTTAAAATCTTCCTCCCCTTAACAAAATCAATGAGTTTCTTGGAAACTCCACTTCCTCATTTACTAAATGGTTTTATTGTGATTGCTGCATAGTATGTGGTGAGGATTAAAGTAAACAATACATGCAAAGCGAACTGTTGGAACTCAATATGTGTTAGTTCCATTCCCTGCCTCTCCAGCAAACACCACCCACAGCACTGACCGCTGAGCACCATCCGTACTGTGAAGTGTTTTGTTTAAATACACTTTTAGGGAAAAGAGTTAAAGGTTTAGAAACTGAACCAATAGTTGGGGTTTACATCAAACAAAGGCATCTTTTGTAGCAACTTCTGGGGTTGAACTTATGACACGTATGGTTTTCTGTTTTCTGCACACAGAGCTCTGACTAATAAGAACTGAAAGTTTTTAATGATGACCCTAATGCTGCAGTCCTCAGTCACTCCAGAAAAGGGGAGCTGTGTTCTCTTGTATGAGTTAGGACCTGGTTGCAAGTAGTGTGAGCTACCTCTAGCTAGCTTGGATCTGGATGTGTGTGTGTGTGTGTGTGTGTGTGTGCGCATGGTCATGCACACACATGTGTGTCTGTATGTAGTGAGGGGACTTCAAGGGGACCTCTGAAACCAAAACATTCATCTATGTCTCTGTGTATATTTCATTTTCACCTTCCCCCAAATCCGCTTTTCTTCACATCCCAAATCACAGGAAAGCAGCTGCCTGACAATTCTGGAGATTTTGTGTTACAGGCCCCTCCACAGGAAGAAGCCGATGCTATCAAACAGTGCCCCAGTCCAGATTCCCAGAGAAGAGAAGCTGATTGGTCCAGCTGGGGTCCACCGTATACACCTCAGCTCCAATCAGCTATGACCAAGGAAGCAGCAGCCCACTGTACAGACATGGGCTCATTCCTGCCATCCTGAGGATGGAGATAAAGGAAAGGTCTCAAAGTGCGGGAGAAGAGGAGTGTCTCCGAGTAGAGGCACCCAAAGTATCATTCCACTTTACACAGTAGGGCAGAAAGAGGACTAATGCATTTCAGAATAATTTTCAGTAACCAAGGTCACAATCGAAAAGATTTTCTGCACATAACACAGTCAAGTCAAAAATTCAATTTAGCTAAGCGTATTTTGCTCTGCATCCCAAATGTAGCAGACACAGATGGTTGCCCATCTAACAGCCTGTTCCTCCTTCTTAACTAGCAGGATCCCACATATATTTAGATGTCCATTCCTCCCTCACGTCAGTCATAGAAAGCTTACCTTATCTCTGTGTTTAGAAGAAAATTAATCTAATGATTGCATTGTGACCCCTTTTGGCTTAGGCATGGGCATATGACACAATTGTGACCAATGAAACATGATGATGGATCTTCTGAGAGGCCTTCTGCAAAGATATTTTTCTCACTGATAAAAAAGAAACTCATAGGAACACTTTCTAACCTTCTACCACTCTGTGTCTGGATGTGATGCCCAGAACTGTGGCAGCCATCCTATGACTAGGAGGGGAACTAGCATGAGGATAAGAGAGTTGAAATATGGTAAAAACTCAGGTCTTTGATTACCCAATTGAGCAACTGGGTTAACTACCTGGTACTGCTTTACCTCTGGGATTCCTGTTTTATTTATTTTAAATATGAAAGTATAATTAACACATAACATTATAGTAGTTTCAGGTGTGAAGCATAATGATTTCATATTTGTATATATTGTGAAATGACAGGTCTATTTAACATCTGTCACATACATAGTTAAAATTTTTTTTCTTGTGATGAGTGCTTTTAAGATCTAGTTCAGTATAGTTAACTATAGTCACCATATTGTACATTACACCTTAGATTCTTATTACTTGATAACAGAAGTATTGTTTAAATCTGTTAAGTTGATTTTTAATTTTTTGTTGCTTGCTACCCCAAACATCCTAATTGATATACCTCCTAATTAATAGAAATCACAAATGAGACATGCTTTAATAAAACTCAACTTCCTAGCTAGAGCATAATTCCAAAAAATATTTCAGCGAAGGTATCCCTTGGGTAATATTGATATAGATAGCCAAGAGATCATTTCTAAGGCTCCCAGAACCATATCAAGACAGAGTATTTTGCAAGCAGACCACCACTATTTTTTCATATTTATAAAAATCAACTCAAAGAACTTGTTTAGAGTAGCTTTTTTTATGCTTCAAAGTCCTTGCTCTTCTAGATGTGGAGTCGGACAAGTTTAAAGTGGTTTCATTGTGTGCTCTGCTTACTTGCGTTTGATAGGCTGTGTTCTCATGACAGGTCTGCCCCTGCAGTGGCTGTCCAGGATGCTTTGATGTGGGGTGCATTCGGACAGCCTAATACTTGGGGAAAAATGTGCTGAAATTGAACAAGATTGCTTTCTGCCCAGCTGTTCTCTAAAGGCTCAGACATTTTTAGCACTGAGCTAAGAAGCTTGT